CCAGCTTTGACATGTGTGACCTTGGGCGGCGCCCCCGCTGCCGTTGTGGGACCATCCCTGCTCTGCCCGGCGGCCAGCGCTGCTGGGAAGATCCTGTGAAATCCTGAATGGGAAGTTTCTTTGCAACCTAAAACTCACACCGCCAACCTCAGAAATGGTGCTAAGCATTGCTCCTCTTTCACCGGCTGCCGTCGTGGACTCAGGCAGCCCCGCAACAGATGGCTGAGCGGCCTGGGCTGGGCTGGGGCACAGCTGAGTGAGTCCAGCAGACTTTGGCCAGGGGCAGGAGGATTAAACGTCATGTGCGCCCTCTCACCTGGCCACCAGGTACTCGGCCCTCCTAGGCCTGGCCCCGCATGTCACCCCACCTCTCTGTCACAGCCGCACTGGCTCCTGCCTCTGGGCCACAGACCGAACCCTTCTTCTGCGCCTTGAACGCTTTAGACCACAAGCCAGCCTCTCCTTGTAATGACAGCTAATGCCACTTATTACGTTCCTGCACTAAGCAATGGGTTAGGGTCAAATCTCACTAATTCTTTCCTAAACTATCCCGGGTGCATGGTGGACACCCCTCTTCCACCCCCAGCAGACTCCCCGCCCTGTCCTGACTTTACCCGCCATCCTGGAGCTCCTGTCTCCCCTTCTCCATCACTCAGGGGCAGCGCCAGGCTCGGCCCGGCCCGGCCGCGTGGGAGCCTCCGCTGCCTGTCTCACCTGACCTCTGCAGGTGGGCCATAGCCTCACCTCCGGAAGCTCGGCCACCTGGAAGTTTCCATCCCCCACGACCAGTGCTGAGGCCCCAAATCCAGGCCTCCAGCAACACCAATGCTGCAGACCCAGGATCGTGTAGGGACCTGCCTGCCCAGCCTGATGGGAGGCCACTGAATCACCCGCTTTCTGGGGAGGAGACCGAGGGCCTCGCTGAGCCTGGCTGAAAAGCCGAGGGACAGCAGGACAGAGCTGCTGTGGTCTTTGTTCCTTTCCTTGAATGCAATGCACATTCCCCACTTAGAGGCAATTTTTTCACTTCAAAAAGATTCCTGCTGCTTACATTCAAGGTGAAGAATGAGCCCCAGTCAAGAAGCACCTCAGGGCCTTTTAGTCTCCATTGGCTTGCAAAGGGATGCATTTTAAGATGTTTGCCTCTTAATGCTTGTCAGCGGGCCAGGGAGAAAACTTCCTCCTACTTCACCGTTGTCGTTGTTGTCGGCACTCAGCGGCTGCTGGCACGGGGACTGTCCCTGTTCTCCTGCACTACTTTGCCTTCGCGGGAACCCGCCTGACTTCCTCGTTCTCTCCTGCTTCCACCTTCCCAGCCCACGGCCCCCACCCGCCTGGGCAGAGGGGAGACTGATGCCGGCCTGCGGTCCACCAGGCGCAGCTCTGGTCCTTCAGAGGCCCCCGTGCACCCAGGAGCTTCAAGGGCAAACTGCTGGGCTCCCATGGCTCAGAGCTCACACTCGCGCAGGCGTCCTTCCACCTGCCATTCATTCATTCATTCATTCACCCATGTGGTCTCCCAGTCAGCCAGTCAGCCGACAGGGAGCCTGCGGTGCTATTCGGAGCTGTGGGTGGTTCAAAGAAACACGACCCGTGGTCTCGCTACAAATTGGTTGAAGCTATGAACGCACAATACGAAACAGAAGAAAATAAACTCTGAGTGTGGAGGGCAGGGGCATTAAAATGGCTCAAAGAGGGAAGAGATCAACTAGGAGTGAGGGTGAACCCCAGAGGGAGGGAGGCAGTTGGGGAAGCCTTCCTAGAGGAGGAAGCATTTTGGTGCGGGCAGGGTGTCCTCTAGTGCAGGGTCCGAACACTGGGAGTAGCCCGAGCAAAGGCGTGGAGGCGGGAGCCCTCTGGTGGGCACAGAGGCACTGTCCTGTGGCCCCTGCAGCCCCGTCTCCGCGGCCTCGGCGCGCGCGCGCGTGCGTGTGTGTGTGTGTGTGTGTGTGTGTGTGTCGGTGGGGGGGAGCATTGCTTTGATCACCTCAGGAAGGCATTGTCCCCGCACAGACAGTCACCAATCTCGTGCCCTTTTCCATCAGGCCCCGGGGCCCAGAGGAAATTCTCTTATCCTCTCCCGTGGCACTACGATTCAGGCTCCCTGCCCCCGCTTTTGAGGGACCCTATTCCTGATAGCACCCATTTCCCCTCCGACTTTCTTAGTCACTGTCTCTCCAGAGAGTGTGTCCCTCTAGCACTAAAGGGAAGCTCCGGCCACTGCCTCATTTCTCACTGTCCCTGGCCTGTCCCCACCTCCTCGTGACCACCTTCCCTAGAGCCACTGCTCTCTCTGTCCTAGAGCAGCGTCTGGCCAGCAAGCCCTGCCGACGGTGCCAGCTCCCAGCGTGCCCCTGACCGTGGTCCAAAGGTCAAGCCTCTGGGGATGGGCCCACTGGGTTTACACCCTGCCTCTTTCCGGCTCCGCCCTTGGCCCGGTCACTTCCTTCTGTAGGAACTTGGCTTATTTTTCTGGCAGGACACCTTTTCCTGCCTGACAACCAGTAGCTTGCTTCTCCTCTAGGGGAGCCCTCCTCTCCCTCTTCTTCCAGACTCATGGAGTAAGTGGGGCTGCCCAGTTGGCTGTTTGGTTCAGGGATGGGTGTGTGATTCAGGTGGGACAAATCTTGGGACTTTTAATGGTTGGAAAGGGTCAGCCTAGTCCCACTGGGACAGATAAACTAGTAAAATGTAAGTCTTAAGCCAGTGAGCGTGGTTTTTGTCACCTCAAGGAAAGTCTATTACACACGAAACCAGCACAGAAAAAAATAGAGAAAGGGGACAGATTCCCGGTGATGATGTTTGAGCGCCTGGATACAGCATTGCCTGAAGCCAGCCCTGGAGTTTTCAGTTTGTGAACCAGGGAAGCCTCCCTTCTTTCTTGGCTCAAGCTAGTTTGAGTTGGGTTTTTGTCACTTGCCACTAACAATCTTGATTAAAGAGGAACTTCACTTGCAGATTTGATGAGAGCACTAAATGAAATGACAATGCATGGTACCCAACCCCGCGTCAAGTGGGTGCCACCAGATGAACGGTGGCTTTGGATAACTCAACTGAATCTGCCTTCTCAGAGGTCAGATTTCCACAATGTGTAGTTCTATCGTAATAGAAGATGACTTTTTCTTTCTTGCTACTGCGTTGACCAAGCTTCCTTTGTGAAATCTCTGCCTGCCTCGGCTTTCTTAACCACAGCTCTGTGTTCTTCCCCAGCTTCCAGGTTTTCTTCCGTGCCCGCCTCAGCGCTGAGACAGGATGGGAGATTCCAGGATCTGGAGGGGGTATGCTCTCTGAGTTCTGTGCTCCTAACCCTGGACAGTCAGAATCAACTAAACCCAATCAAATGCAAAGACTTTGCAAACTTGCTTCAGACTTGTGCCACCCAAGCACACCAGGTACCCAGAAAAGTCCACACTGCCATCTAGTGGACATATGCAGCAATACCATGGGTAACGGAGCCCTGGGCAGAGACTCTCCCTTGGGACAGTGATTAGTGGGCTGTAAAATCATCAGGTCCAACCTCTTCACTCCTTAAGTGACAAACACGAGGATGTGCGAATTAATTGTGAGTTGAGAGTCCTGCGTCATTACACTCTTCTCGCAATGGCCAGGCCCCTGCCCCGCTTCTTCAGCCCTCCACCTCCTGCCCCACGTGTTAGAATCGCGGTGACCCGCATCCCCCCCGCTCCTCCCGCCTGCCCATGCTGCGACCCAGGCCGAGGGTGCCCGGGGGGAGGGTTGACGTGTGTGTGAGGGTGTGCATGCGCGTGCAGAGGGTTGGGAGGGCGGAGGGAGAGGAGACTCAGGGAGCCCCCTCGTTGTTTGCTTGCTCGGTCTCCCAGAGGAAAGGACTTTGGTCACATTTGCAAACACCACAGCCTATCGAAGCTTCGTGTTCTTGGCCTATACATTGTGAGACATATCCCAATCTCTTGGTTCCCTGATAGTGAAAAACAGTTCAAGAAAGAAAGAAAAATATATCCTTCTACCTCCAAGCAATCTGTGTGACCCCCACTTTCAAACTGACAGTGGGGAAGAGCCCGCGGCGGCCTCCCCCGCCACCATGCACAGAGGCGGCCTCGCTGTGCATGTGCCCACACCCTGATCACGACCCCCTGGCTTCCCCCACTCTAGGCCTGAGCCTGGGACACAGTGCCGTCTTTGTTCCTAGGTTGACACTGGCACCTCCTACTAAAACAGAGCAGACAGCAAAGGTCACCTTTCACCCCGGACGCTTTGGGGGTTCATGCTGGCCTGGGAGTCGAGGAGGAAAGACGGCTGACCGTTACAGTGGCGCAGCTTCCCCAGGACACGGCCCAGACCCCGGGAACAGCAGCCACAGCCCCGCTGCCCAGTTCCACGGCCCTTCCCCAAACCGAGGGAGCCTTGCAGACCAACACGGTACTACTCATTTCCCAGTAAAAGAAATAGTTACTTCCAATTCCTAACATGCTTCAATCTTCTATTTTAGACAACTTTGGTTGAACTTTTGAGCGCATTTCTTATTGCGGTGACCAAAAGTCAAGACACACTGACCTCTGCTTGGTTAGCTTACAGGAGAAATGCTACCCTCTACAAACTAGCTCCTCCCCATTCAGAAGGTCATTCTAAAAGCTCGGCCACCTTGCGCCTTGAAAAGGAACTCCCCGCATCTCCCCACCCCTTTTCTCAGCGAACTCCAAAGCATGCATCAGCTGGTCCCCACGATGACCGAGGGGCCAGGCTTGGGGGCTCAGGAGCTGTAGAAGCAGGGAAGATCCCAGGCAGAGTGGCCCCTGAACCCCGATAAGGCTCCCCCGGTCTTCACCCCAGCCACCCACCCGGCCTCCTCCTCCGAGGCTGCGGGGCTGCTCTGAGAAGGCATGAGCTTATGGCAACAGCCATCTGCTACCACCAGACCTAATCCAGATGGCTCTGCGCACAGCTTCTACACGCTCAGATGAGCAAGCCCGGGGCAAACCGACCTGCGGCTCTCACCCTGCAGGCCGGACCTGCTCACTCACCTCCGAAGCCCCCGGGAACGTGACCCTTGGAGCCGGCCACCTGGTGATCTTCAGCCTGTAGTCGTTGCAGTCAGGGACTATCCTGCAGCTGATGTTCTGCACCTCTGGGTAGGAGATGTCAAGGCTGCCCCTACAGAGAGAGGGCGGTGGTTGGCCCACGTCAGCGTTTTAGGGAGCCTGGGGGCCTATGAGGCTTCGGCCTAGTGCTGCTGGGAATGTAAAGTCAAGTGGGATTGAACCCTAGATTTGCCACTAACTGGTTGTGCGACCTTTGTGTTCTAAGAGTTACTTGACCTCTTCGTGCCTCCGTTTAGTCACCTGTAAAGTAGGGACACTACTACTATCTACCTAGAGGGTGGGTGAGAGGAGGAAAGGAAGTGATCAATGCAGGGTGGTCAGAAGTGTAAACTATGGTCCACGTTTACTTCTCAGAAAGAACATGCATCCACAGACACACTTGGTCAGTGTCCTTAAAGTAGGATTGGGTTTATAAAAATAGCATTTAAACATTGCTTTTCAGGGGCGTTCTTATTACATAAAGAAAAGCACAGCCTTCTTCATGGGCACAGACTGTTCTCTCCCCTGCACAATTAAGCTCCTCTCAATGTTTGGAAATTCCACCGCTCAAACGGTCCACTTTTGGTGGTTGAGTGCTGTCCATCCCCTCGGCTCTTAACCTGCTATTCACTGCACTTTCAAAACGTAAATATCTCTCGGGGGGCGGGGGGCGGGTAAAACCCCTAGTCACTAAGACTGAAGTGTGAATTTATTTATCCACTGGTCTGTACAGTGTGAGTGCTCGAGAGTCAGGCTCCGCGGGAGGGCTGACCCCACAACGCCACCAGGGTGAGCCTGTGTTTGAAACTCAGGGATGTAAGCCAGGCTTTCAAATAGATTGGGGAAAAAAGAAAAGCTGTGTGCCTTTTTTCTTACTTTACTTGATTCTTCCTCCTTGCCCTTCTGTCTTTTTATTTTTTTAATCATGAAGACCTAGGGTCTCTGTGGGGTTTGTCAACTGATGGTCACTGGTGCTGATTCAACACCAACAGGAATCCCCAGCTTGGGTTACAGCAAAGAAGGAGGCTTTATTCAGTGCAAACGGTTCAACGGCTATACAGCACAGCTGTGGAGCAGCTCAATAGTGTCTCAGCTCAATCATGAAGCAGCATGGTGTGAGGCGCCCCTGGGTGTGAGGCCCCCTCTCCAGCCATACAGCTCTGCTCGGCTCAGGTGAGAGAATGTCAGCTCCCGCCAGGGGCGCCCCGCGATCTCCAGTGCCCGGGGACAGTGTGCTCTCCGGCCCAAGGGAGCTGACTTCGGTAGAGAGAAGCCCCGCCCCAGCCCCAGCCCCTGATTGATTTGTTCTCATGTAAATGAGGACTCTAAATCCTCACAGTTGGATTGGCCAAATACACACGTTATCCTGACTGATCAGAAGGGAGCTGCTCTGACTTATTGGTCAAGATACTAACAAGGGTATAGCTCTGCAGCTCCGACTGGACAGGCTACGCCTCAGTCCTACTGCCTGAAATGGGACTCCGGGAGCTCCTTTCTAAGGGCCTGCTCAGCGGGCAGGCGGGCAGTCTCGTGCAGAGCTTCTCCACGAAGCGCGGCTTGCAAGCTTGTGTGAGGGCCTGCAGTTTAGCAACAGCTGCTAGGCTCTGTGTATAAATCTTAGCCCAGTTAGCCACCAGGAGCCCCTCCCAACAGGTACGGTCATTCTCGGGTGAACAGTCCTTTGGTGAAGATAACTCGCTGAGAGGCAGGGCGTGGGTCCTCAGCCTTTCCAGATGACCCAGCATGGCTGAGCAGCTCCGCAGCCTGCCATTGGACACCCAGAGCTGCCCACGGCTCCCTGCTGGGGGTGACGCCTGAGGGGGACCCAGTGAAAATGTCACTTGGGGGACTAGCTCTACAGGGGGAGCTCCTGAAGTCTGAACCTGGGAGAAAGGCAAAGACAGCTTCTTGGTGAGGAGCCCCACCTTCCCCCTCCTCACCCCACCCTTCCAGAGGCTTCTGAGGTCCCATCTTAGGCAAAGGTGGCTGGAGCCTGCAACACTTGGCAGATGCAAGATTGCTCCTCCGGCCAGCACCCCAACTCCAGGACTCGGGCCGCCTGACCAGGACGGTTCGCCGACGCCACTTGGCTGAACCGCCGGCTTGCTGAGCAAACTTGTTTCTTTTAACTCGTCACAAGCTGACAGTCACTTCTTTCAGATGGCATGGCTTTTGTAGCTTCCAAAGAATTTTCCAAGGACAGGTTTTCACCCCTCTTCACGGCAGCCTTTGAGGGTCCCTTGGCGCATTTGCACCACGGCTCCCTGCCGCTGCAGCCGGTGAGATCTAAGGCCTAGTGGGGCCCTCCGCTGGCAGAGAGAGAGCCATTCATCCCACCGCACAGACCTGGGAACCGCCAGGGATCGGGGACAGGGAACCTGGGGACCGGGGGCGGGGGGGGCCTTCTCCAGGGAGGAGAGGGGTCTTCTGTTTCTTTCTAGGCAGAGCTGCTGCGAGGGCTAAAATAGTGAGGGAAAATCAGCAAGGTGACATTTGGTGAGCGGACCCAAAGGCCCTGAGCGTGCGCTGGCAGTGTGAACGCCAGGGGACCAGGGCCTGTGCCCCCGCCCCAGGCACAGCCACGGGGCACTCCAGCCTGGGGTGGGAAGCCCTCACGCGGCTCATGCAGCAGGCCGAGCCCCGGGGCGTGTGCGGGCCTCTGTCCTGACAAGCAGCTTTGCCAAGGCTTGGATCAGGCCACAGAAGGCAAAGTTGATCGGCAAACAGCACCCAGCTGGTAACGAAGAATTCAGGTGATCGAGCCAGCCTACGAGAAGATCTGGCCAGGTCTACGATGACCTGAATCAGAAGGTAAATTCAGTAAAAGCACCCTTTACAACTTGCATTCAAGTTCAAAACACCCCACAGGGCCATTTTCCTGCAGTGAGCGCCCCTTCTGCTCACAGTGTTTACAGGGGACACGTCCTCGTCTCTGTCCCGAGGCCTGGGCTGGGGCACATCTGGGGGAGTGTGGGGAGAGGAGCGGGCACTCCGCCCTGTCCAGCGGGGCCGTTATCTGACGTCGCAGTGGAGATGGGGCGGGGGAGGGGAGGAAATGTCACTTACGGGGCCGCCTCAAATAGATCAGACATGGCACGTGCTATTGTTCCATTTCCTACAACAGTATCTTGAAGCAGCACTGCCATTGTTCTCATCTTCCAGATGAGTAAACTGAGGCCCAGAGAGAGCGAAGGAGCTAGTACAGAGTCTCATCATCAGTGAGCTGACGGGGAAGAGGGACATGGGTGTGAGGGGCATTGTCCAAAACCCCCCCAGCGATCGCTGTTTCTGTGTGTTATCCCCGCCCCTTGAGTGGGGGCTGGGTTTAGTGACCTGCTTCTAATAAAGAAAATAAGACAGAAGGGACAGGATGTCAGCTCCAGAGGCATAAGGAGACGGTGGCTTCTGATCCACACCCTCTCCCTCTCAGACCCCCGCTCTGGGGGTCCACCGGCTGTGTGGTAACAGCCCCATGGAGAGGCCACACGGGACAGTGACTGAGGCTGTCACAGCCGCACGAGTGAGCCCCGAAGCAGAGCACCCCGCCGGCCCATCCTTCAGATGAGACTGCAGCCCCAGCTGACAGTGCTGCTGCCACCTCCTGAGAGCCTGGGCCAGAGCTGGCCGGCTGCACCGCGCCTGGGGAAGGGAGGCGTAAGCGCACACAGCTGCTTTGTGTGCGGGAAGCTTGCCACGAAGCCAAAGAGACCAGCTTCCACCGGCTTCACAGCTTCCCAGGGAGGCTATTAGCTTCTCCTGGCTTTGGATTCACTCCGGCATCGGCATCGTAAGAATTGGATCGGAGAAAGACTCCTCCCCAGCGGTGCCTGCGGGAATGCCCCGCATCCCGGCTGCCTGGAAGCAAGGGTGGGGGCGAGGCTGCTTTCACAGAGCAGGAGGGGGACCGGTGGGCGCCCCGCCCTCCAGCGTGGCTCTCAGTGTGGCACTCAGTGTGGGGCGCCACACCCAGAAAAGGGCTGCGGGTCTGTCTCCGAGTGACCCGTCCTGAGAGTGGGGGCCCAGGACCAAGACCCCTGAAGAGGAATTGACAAATGGGGGTGGGTGCCCGGGCGAGGAGAGCTGTGGGTGCAGACGGGGGTCGCGGCATCAGTCTCCAGGCATCTGAGGGACCCAAGGACCGGACCGAATGTGTGGAAGAGGGGAAACTAGCTTCACTCTCTGCGGCGCCTGGGGCGAGACGGGACGGAAGGGGACGAAGCCAGGGGAAGGCGTCCCCTGCCTTCCGATAGGAGGCACTCCAGAAGGGGCCGCTTCTCAGCACCGAGGAGCGCCCTGGGGGGCCGTGCCCAGGGCCCCTGGCGTGGGGGGCGGCAGGGAGAGGGCTGTTGAGGGGGATGCACGGCTACAGTTCTTTGGACTCTGGGCCTGAGCAGGGGCTCTGACTCAGTGTTTCTGTGGCTGTGGTCTGGCTTGTCTCAGGAGTGGGTGAGCTCCTATTATCCTAGAAGAGCTTTCCTCTGAGTGTTTTCCCACTGCTTGTCGCTGTACGTAAAGTTCCTCCTTCACAGGTCAATACCTTTAGGTGCTGAGTCCCAACTGCGAGGATTTCCTGTTAGACTCCAGATACAGGAGGAGTGGCTCGGGCGAGGGGTGGGTGTCTCTCACAGGTTAGAGCCTGAGCTGAGCAGGTTCCGTGGGGAGGGGGCCCCAGTGCAGGAGCTGCTGATCCCTCCTCAAATGTCTGATGTGCCCACGATGTGCTCAGCGTCCGTGATGATCTTTTATAAACAAAAATCTTCATCAGGAATAACGACAGAGCTTCCTCTGTGCCGCAGTCGTCTGCAACCTGAAGAGCTCTCCTAGCCCGCAGCTTTAGTGTCCGAAGGCCACGTCTCTCACCCTGGTGTCTGCCGGTGTCTTCTGGGGAGTCCTGAGAATGGACCCTCGGTGTTGTAAATGTTTGTGTCCCCCTGCCCTCCCTCCTCAAATTTGTATGTGGGAATCCTGGCCCCTAGTGCGATGGTACAGGCGGGGGTTGGGGCTGTCCTCTGAGAGGCACTTAGGCTACGAGGGTGGAGCTCTCACCCACGGGACTCGTGCTCTTACAAAAGAGACCCCAGCCACAGCGGGAAGACGCCCGTCTCTGAACCAGGAAGCGGGTCCTCACAGACAGAACTTGCCTACGGCTGGATCTTGGACTTCCCAGCCTCCCGACGCTGAGAGGTAAGTTTCTGCTCTTTTTAAGCCCTCCAGTCTCTGGCATTCTGTTATCACAGCCCGAATGGGCTAAGACAGCTTTTCCCCATTACTGGAGTTTGAGACCGTCCGGCCCCTGGAGGAGGTGAGCAGCCCAATGCGGGGGGTTGATCCCCATAAGCTGTGCCAGCACCATGGGCGGGTGATTTAATCTCTGGAGAGTCCTCATCTGTAATACTCAGAAGATTCGTGACAACGATCAAAGGGGTCAAGGAGTCCAAGACACCAGCCGAACTCCTGACACGCAACAGGAGCCCAGGGTGGCACACGGGTCACCAGCCACCAGCACGTGGGGGGACACAGGAAGAGCCCAGGGCAGCTGGGGCGCAGGTCAGTTCGCTCTGGTGAGTGCGTGCACATGATCCTTTTGTACCCATTCCACAATGCAGGCGACACAGGGACCCACAGAGGCCCCCGCGCCTGGGCCCTCGCCAGGCCTGGCCCGCCCCAGCCCAGCTGACCTGCCTGCTTGTGGAAGAACTGCGTCCCCCCGCCCCCCGACCCCCCGCCAACCGAAGGGTCCACTCAGCGGTGCCCCTGAGGGCCCAGATCTGTGACAGGGGCAAAATCCATTTTTTTTTTTAAGGGAGAGGGCTTCAATTATACTTAACTTTTTGAGGGAAAAGATGTATTTATCTTTCTAAAAATAATGTATGTAAGAATTCAAAAGGACTCAAGAAGACCGAGTTGGAAGTCGTTCTTCTGTCCTCTCTCCCATCAGCCTCAGTGGGAAGACACATTGGCCAAGGGGGTGGCAGCCGTGTGGCCGGGGTGGCCCTGGGGTTGACCCATGACTAGCAGGGCCCGTTCTTCTACCCAGAAGCCTGTGAGGCGGGAGCTGAAATCCGGCGCAGACTCAGGGGAGCTCGCGCCTTGGAGGGGAAAACTCCAGCCTCCTCTCTGGACAGCACCCCGGGGCGGCGGCCCCTACAGGGCCAGCCTGCCCCAACACTCCCGGGCCTGTGACTGAAAAGCAAACAACAGCTCTTTTCTCTAAAATGCCACTTGGCGGGGGGTGGGGGAGCATTTCGGGCTGTAGGGATGGACTCTCGGGCCAGCCCCTCGGAGCCCCAGAGGAGCCGAGGGCGGCCACGTCCTGTCCTGGGCCCCCTCAGTCCTTTCCCCAGCGCCGCCCCCTCACGGCCTCCTTCCCAGCCTCCCAACTGCCCTCTGGGGCCCCCCAGCCTTACGTGCAGAAGGAGATATCCTGGACCGGCACAGGCAAGCTTACACACTGGTCATCTGTGTTCTGCACTCTGGGGACCACCACCGTGAGGCCCAGAAACAGGGCTGCCACGGCCAGCTGCATTGTCCAGCCCGTGGGCACCTGGAACAGACAGAGCCCTTAGGGCTGACAGCCCTCTGTGGGGGGAGACCTTGCCACCCACAGGCCACCTCCCCAGGGGCCCGCCTGGCAGGACAGGGACTTCTGGTGAACATAGGGAGGAGGGTGGGGTGCTTCCGGGGGACCTGGGCTCACTCCGAACTGGACTCCGCGTGCCACGCGGGCCGGGCCTGTCGCTCGAGCCCCGGCTGCCAGGGCCGGGTGGCCGCAAAGCAGAGGTGCTTGTGGGAGCCTCCCAGCACGGCCCTCCCCCTGCCCTCGCCGCTCGCCCCGCGTGGCCGGCTGGTCCAGGGCCAGCCTGCTCCTTTGGCTTTCAGGCAAATCCTGGGAAGCCAGTGGCCCCGGGTGGGCGTGGGGCTGGGTGGGTGGGCGTGGGGCTGGGTGCAGGCTCTAGAGTGCTGGCAAGGGCCTGACCGGGGTTTGTTTTTCTAGGAGCGGGGCTTTGGCTGGGCCATGCCCCTTGGACAGCTCTGCTCTTCCTGCCCACTGGTCCTCCGCCACCTGTTTTGACAGCCTCGGGGCGGTCCGTGGGTGGAAGCGCTGGGAGGCAGCGACCCCGCTGCTCCCGGGGCAGGGCTGCCCCAGCCCCGAGGCCGGCCCGCAGGGCCAGCTGAGGTCGGAAGGGCCCTCCAGCGGACTGCACCCTGCAGCAGTGCTGAGCTCAGCGCTCTCCCGGACAGCAGTCCCCGGAGAAGGAGGCCGGCAGAGCGGCCGGGAAGGGCGGGCGCACCAGCTCGGTGCTGGGAGCAGGGGCCGGGCTGCACCGCACCACTCTCTTCCCGGGAAACAGGCCTGTGGGAGGGAATGTGTGGGACCCGGAGCGGAACCGGAGGTGGCAGGGGAAGATCCAGGGTGGCTCTCCCACGGCCTTTCCCAGGGATCTGTCCTCTGTCTCCTCTGAGAGGGGTGTTGGGGGGCCCAGCCAGGACGGAGGCCTCCTGAGCTCTGCATTGAGCTCCTTCAGGCTTTCGGGGGCAGGCAGTGCTAGGCCTCTGGAGCAGGCGCCATCTCCTCCTTTCAGAAACAAGCACTGTGACCTTGTGACCCCTGTGCCTGGATAAGGAAGATGCGACCGTAGCTATAAAGTCTACACAGGTAAATCTTTAGAGAAACTGTTTTCAGCACAGCTTGCTTCCGGTGGAATTCCTGCTTCCAGCAAAAAGCCCTTCTTTGAGGGCTGCAAATTATTAAAATTAATAATGAGACTCCCTGAAGTATGACAAGGCCTCCCCCACTCACTCCCAAGATCTCCCCAACTTGCAAGTGTCTCCTGGTAGCCCCCTCACAGGGTGGCTGTGCGCATGAAGTGGCGTGAACGAGGCAAGGCACTTGGTGAGCGCCCCGGCGCCTCGGGAACGCGCAGTAATTCACGGGTGGCACAGGCGGCCTTCCGCAGACCAGTCCATCTGCAACCCATCGCACCAACAGGCACTGAGCGCCTTCCCCGCGCTGGGCCCGCGCCAGCCCCGCGATGTCGGGCCCGTCCTCGTGGAACTCAAAGAAGACACCCAGCGCCAGAGGATGATGAGGCCAGAGAGATCGTCCACGGCCAAGAGGTTCCTGTCTTCAAAGTGGCAGCCACTAGAGAAGCCAATACTGTCCCGGGTGCCGGGGTCCTCAGCACCAGCAACGAATGTCTGTCTGGAGGAAGGGGGCATCCTCCGCGCAGGGTCGCTCCTGGTGAGCCCACTCGCGTCTGCAATTCCTCCGCACGCGGGTGCTCCAGGCCGTTATCATTGATCCCTCGGGACGATCCTCTGAGGCACAGAGACGTTAGCTAATCCGGCCCTTGGCCAATTGTGGGTGGTAAGTGGCTGACCTGGGATTTGCACACACGCCATCTGGCTCCAGGCTTCATGCTCCTTAACTACTCTGTTCCGCAGCCTCCTCTTGCGGCTCTGCTGTCCTCTTGCTCGCTGCCCTTCTAGCCCCTTTGTTCTTGGAGTAAGGCCTAGTATCTTCCACGTAGCTCGCAGTATCCTGTGCAGGTGGACTCCTCCTGCCTCTCCAGGCCCGTCTCTGCTCTCCCCGGCTCCCTTCTTCACTCCGGCCAGTCCCTCGGGCTCCTTCCTGCCCCAGGGCCTTCCTGTGCTCCACCCCACCTCCTACCGCTTTTGGTAAATAGCCAAAGTGGATTTCAGTTACACAGGATCAGAGCACTTTACTCCTTTCTTTACAATTTTTATGTGTTCGTTTACTCTTTCCCTTGCTGTTTTTATACGAATTCATTTTGCAATAATTTGCCTATAGTTCCAGGAAGCGCTGAATCTGCATCTATCATTCCAAGCACAGTCCCTGGCCTGTCTAGATGCTTAATAAATTCTTGTTTGAATGCCCGAGAAACTTGCCACTTCTGTTTCTGATAGTCCTTGTTTTCATTTCATTGCTCCTCTCTGTAAATACCAGTAGGAAACCAACCACTCAGGTGGGTGCCGGTCTCTGGATCCCTTTTGCTTATTTGTCTAACCTTCCCTGGCTTGTTTTGCTGCAGAGATATCTGACAGAAGGCAGGGGTTCTCGGTATTTTCACACCTGACCTTTCTCTTGGGGATTCACAGGACTCTGCTTCATACTCAGAGTCCCAGGTCTAGGGTGAGAGGCCTTGTTCAAGCCCACAAAGGCACAGCTGCCCCTTCCCATCGCCAGCCTGTTTTACCCCACTGACCCACCTCTGGACGCTCCCATCTCTGTGTCCTTTGGGGCCCACCTCCGACGCGCTTTTCTCTTGCTTCAGTCACCTGGTCTGGGTCGATCTCCCAAAATCACCAGTCCGGCCAAGCCTCTTGCGGGGCCGTGGACCCCCAGCCCCAGGATCTACTGGGCCAGGGCTGCCGGGACTATTGAGCCTCCCTCTTGTCCCTCGAGGCCTCTTGTGCCTGACACCCCCCTTACTGGCCAGATCTCCCCTCCTTCCTCTCTCTAGACACAGACTCTTACACTTCCCCTTCCTCCTAAACCTTCCCACTTGTGCCCTCAGATGGAGCACCCAAATTCCTCCTGGATGCCAGAGGAACCAACCGTGCGGTGTGACTGGAGAGCTGGGACTTTCCTTCTTCCCCTTGTCCCCATCCCCACCTCCATAGAGAGGGGCTGGAGGTCGAGTCAATCACCAGTAGCTAATAATTTAATTAATCATTCCTTGTCACGAAACTTCCATAGAAACCAAAAGGACAAGGTTTGGAGAGCTTCCGGGTTGGTGAGCACGTGGAGACGCAGGGGACGGGGCAAGCTCGGTGGGCGTGGAGGCTCTGCGCCCGCCCCACGCCCCTGATCCTAGGCGCTGCTCCCATCTAGGAAGTTAAGGGTTTCTCCGAGTTCTGTGAGCCACTCAGGCAAATTAGTCAAACCCAAGAAGGGTGTTGTTGGAACCATTAACCTATAGCTGGTAGGTAAGAGGCCCAGGTGACAACCTGGACTTGAGACTGGCCTCAGAAGTGGGGACAGAACTGGAGGACTGAGCCCATGACCTGTGGGGTCTGACATTATCCCCAGGGAAAGAGCGTCAGAAGGTCTAATTTCATTCTTTTACATGCAGCTATCCTGTTGCTCCAACAATATTTGCCTCCAGAACTATGAAAAAATTAATTCTGTTGTTTAAGCCACCCAGTCTGCAGTATTTTGCTATGAAAGCCCTAGAAAACTAATACACTTGTCTTGTTCCTGATCCTCAGAGAAAATTGTTCAGTCTTTCAACACTGAGGACAACGTACGCTACAGGAATTCCATATACGTCATCAGCAGGGCTGGCTCCTCCTGAGACTCCTCTCCTTGGCTTGCAGGCGGCCCCCTCCTCAACTGTGTCCTCACATGGCCTTTCCTCTGGTGTCTCTTTGTGGGTCCAAATTTCCTCTTCTTATAAGAACACTAGTACGAGTTAAGACCTATCCCAATGGTCTCATTTTAACTTAACCACTTGTTTAAAGGCTTTATCTTCAAATACAGTCATAATGAGGCACCAGGGTTAGGACCTCAACATATAAATTTGGGCAGAGAGGATGCAATTCAGCCCATAACAGAAGGATGCCCACTTTCACTACTTCTATTCAATACACTATTGGGAGTTCAAGCCAGAGCGATTAGATAAGAAAAACAAATAGAAGACAAATTGAAAAGGAAGAAGTAAGTTATCTCTGTTTGCCAATGACGTGATTTTATGTGTAGAAAACTCTAATAACTAAAAAAACAAAGCTAAGAAGTAAATTCGGCAAAGTTGCAGGCTACCAACTCACACACAAAAATACATACATTGTTTGAAACATACATTGAAATTCATACATTGTATGAAACATACAATGTTTCATACATTGGCAATGAACAATCTGAACAGGAATTAGGAAAACAATTCCATTTACAGTACAATAAAAAAAGAAAATATTTAGGAATTAACTAAGGAGGAGGAAGGCTTGTATATGGAAAACTACAAAACATTGCTGGAAGAAATTAAAGAAGACATATATAAATGGAAGGAAATCCTGTGTTCATGAGTTGGAAGACTTAATGTTGTTAAGATGTTAATATTATCCAAAACAATCTACAGATTCAATGCAATCTCTATCAAAACACCAGTGATATTTTTCACAGAAATAGAAAAATCCATCCTAAAATTCATATGGAATCTCAAGAGACCCCAAATAACTAAAACAATCTTGAAAAGAAGAATGAAGTTGGAGGAATCACAGTTCCTGATTTCAAAAGTTACTACAAATTTGTGGTAATCGAAAACTGTGGTACTGGCATAAAGACAGAAATATTGACCAATGGAGTAGAGAGTTCAGATATAAACCATTACGTACATGGGCGGGTAACTTTTAACAAGGGTGCCAAGAACATTGAATGGGGAAAAGATAGTCTTTTCAATAACTGGTGCTGGATAACCACATGCCAAAAAAAAAAAAAAAAAAAAAAAACAGATGTTGAACTCTTACCTGATATAAAGATCAACTCAAAATAAATAAAAAACCTAAATGTAAGAGCTAAAACGATAAAGCTCTTGGAAGAGAACATAAGGGAAAACTTCATAAAACTGATTTGTCAATGAGTTCCTGGCTATGACACCAAATACACAGACAACAAAATAAAAAATAGAGAAGTCGAACTTCATCAAAATTAAAAACTTTTAGCATTAAAGAAATCTATAAAGACAGTAAAAGGACTACTCCGGAATGATAGAAAATATTTGCCAATCATATGCCTGAAAAGGATTATTATCTGTGAGTATGTAAAGAACTTCCAAAACCCAACAACAGCAAAATACACAATCCAATTAAAAATTGTGCAAAATACTTGAATAGACATTTTTCCAAAGAAGATACACAAATGTCCAATAAGCATATGAGAAAATGCTCAATATTCAGGAAATGTAAATAAAAACCACAGTAAGATACCACTTCCCCTCCACTAGGATGGTTGCAAGTAAACAAACACAGGCACACACAGAAAATAACAAAATGACAAATAGAAATAGCCTGACATATACTATCCTTGTGGAAGAGTTGCAGATACTGTATGTGGTTATGAGGGGGAATTTGAGAAAGATCTCTGAATAAAGTGATGTTTAAAATGCACTTGAAAGATGAGCAAAAGTTAGCCAGATGGTCATCTACAACAAATGCTCATCTACAACATTTGTCAGTATTGTAGAGCTGATGGAGAAATTAGAACCCTTGTACATTGCTGGTGGGAATGAAAATGGTGCAGTCACTGTGGAAAACAGTTTGGTAATATCTCAATAAGCGAAACAGGCCCTGGCTGGTGTTGCTCAGTGGACTGAGTGCTGGCCTATGAACCAAAGGGTTGCTGGTTCAATTCCCAGTCAGGGCACAGGCCTGGGTTGTGAGCCAGGTCCGCAGTTGGGGATACATGAGAGGCAACCATACATTGATGTTTCTCTCCCTTTCTTTCTCCCTCCCTTCCCCTCTCTCTAAAAATAAATAAATAAAATCTTAAAAAAAAAAAGCTAAACAAAATTACCATATGACCCAGCAATTCCACTCCTAGACATATATACTTACAGGTATTTAAAGCAAGGACCAGAACACATATTCCTATGCCAGTGTTCTTTGGAGCCAAAATGTGAAAACAAACAGGCGTCCGTGAACAGATGAATGGCTAAAGAACATGTGGTATATACATACAAAGGAATGTTATTTAGTCACAAAAAAGAAAGAAACTCTGACACATGCTGCAACATGGATGAACCTTGAGAACGTTATGCTAAGGGAAATAAGCTCGTCACAAAAAGAAAAATATGGCGTTATTCTATTTATATGAGGTAACTTGAGTCATTTTTCAGGGGCTGGGTAAATGGGAGAATGGGGAGGACTGCTTCATGGTTACAGATTTTCTGCCGGGGCAATACACGTTTTGGAAATACAAAATGGCGACAGTTGCACAATACTGTGAATGTAATTAAAGCCACTCAAGTGTACACTTAAAATTAGTTAAAATGGTAAATTTTATGTTATGTATATTTTAACACACATCTGAGGAACCAGTGTCATGTAAAGTCCACTTTGGAAATACTGGCTTAATCCATTCCCTACACTGTATAGACGGCTTGATCAGTCTGTGTAGCTACCCTCCACCCTGCTGGCGGCCTCCCCTCTCTCCCACCCTAAGGCCTTTGCACAGGTTGTTTTGTCTGCAAGGAGAGCCATTC